CCCTTGCGGCCGACACGGACCTCGCCAACGACCCCCCCGTCCTCCTCTCCCCCCGCGGCTGCGGACCGACCCCCCCGTTCCTCCTGGTGCTGGTTCCCAGCGCCCCGTCCCACTCCGCTCGACGCCAGGCCATCCGAGAAACTTGGGGGGGGGCGGACGGGCGACCCGGTGGGCTCCCCACCCGCACCCTCTTCGTCCTGGGGGTGCCGACGGTGCCGGCCGAACAACCGGCGGTGCGAGCGGAAGCTCGCCGCCACGGCGACCTCCTGCAAGGCGCCTTCGCCGACACGTACGCCAACCTCACGCGCAAAACGGCGTTTCTGCTCCGCTGGGCGACGCGCCGTTGCCCCGCCGTCCCTTTCATCCTCAAAGCCGACGACGACGTCTTCGTCAACCTCCCGGCCTTGACGAATTACTTGGCGTCCTTCCGGCGAGCGCCGCGGTTATACCTGGGACGGATCCACTGGTGGGTTCGACCCCAGCGGGACCCTCGCGGTCGTCACCACGTCCCCGTCGCCGTTTATCCCGCCGCCGCCTTCCCCCTCTATTGCAGCGGCACGGCGTACGTCTTATCGGGGGAGGCGGCGGCGGCCGTGCTGGCGGCGGCCCCCCGAGTCCCTTTTGTCACCCCCGAGGACGTCTGGGTGGGCCTTTGCGCCCAGCGAGCCAGTTTGGCGCCCCGCCACTCGGCTCGGATGGCCGGATCGGCGCGGTTCCCTTTGGACGGGTGCTGTTACGGCGAGGTGCTCTTCAGTTCCCACGGGCTCGGCCCCGGCGAGTTGCGGAGGGTCTGGGGGTTGTTGCAAGGAGAGGGGGGGGGTTGTAACGCGTTGCAGCGGGCGCTGGGCGTGCTGCGGTGCAAGGCGCTGGCCGTCGGCGAGTGGCTTTGGCAGTGAGCAGGGAGGGTGACGGTGCGGCGAGGCCGAGGACGTCGCACGGGGCTCGCACGTGTTGGAGGAGCCGCAGCAGCGCTGGGATGCAGCGTGGTGTCGCTGCGAGCCGTCAGCCGCGGTGCAAAGAGGACGAGGACGTTGCACGTGTTCAAGGAGCTGCAGCAGCGCTGGGATGCAGCATCGCTGCAAGCAATCAGCCGCAGTGCAAAGAGGACGAGGACGTTGCACAGGGCTTGCATGTGTTGGAGGAGCTGCAGCAGCCCTGGGATGCAACATTATGTCACTGCAAGCGATCAGCTGTGGTGCAAAGAGGACGAGGATGTTGCTTGTGTTCAACGAGCTGCAGCAGCCCTGGGATGCAGCGTTGCGTTGCTGCAAACCATCAGCCATAGTGCAGAGAGTACAAGGACATCGCATTGGATGTTGCACGTGTTGGAGGAGCTGCAGCAGTGCTGGGATGCAGCATTGCCTCACTGCCAGCAATCAGCTGCTGTGCAACAAGGACATTGCACGGGGCTTGCATGTGTTGGAGGAGCGGCAGCAGCCCTGGGATGCAGTGTTGTGTTGCTGCAAGCGATCAGCCATGGTGCAGCAAGGATGAGGATGTTGCACAGGGCTTGCACTTGTTCAAGGAGCTGCAGCAGCCCTGGGATGCAACATCATGTCGCTGCAAGTGATCAGCTACAGTGCAACAAGGACGAGACCATTGTACGGGACATTGCACGTGTTGCAGGAGCTGCTGCAGCACTAGGATGCACTGTTGCACTGCTGCAAGTGATCAGCCATGGTGCAAAGACAAGGTTGCACAGGGCTTGCATGTGTTCAGGGAGCTGCAGCAACACCAGGATGCACCATCACGACGCTGCAAGTGATCAGCTGCGGTGTGACAAGGACGTTGCACAGGACGTTGCACATGTTGGAGGAGCCGCAGCAGCGCTGGGATGCAGCGTTCCGTCACTGCAAGCCCTCAGCCATGGTGCAAAGAGGACGAGGACAGTGCACGGTGACTGACAAGGCCATCGCACAGCGCTGCCCGCGCTCCCCGCCCCCCCAGCGTTGGCAGGCGCTGCAGCGTCCCCATCCCCAGCAGGCAATAAATGCGACGGGGCTGGTGACACCAGTGGTGGCACTTGGCTTTTTTGGGGGGGGGGGGGTGCGGACGGGGACACACAGGGACAGCAGGGGCTCGGCAGAGAGACTTTAATAATGGGGGGGCCATGTTGGGGATCTCCAGAGTGTGCAGGGCAGGGGGGGTGTAGGGGACCCCCACAGTGGGGGACACCCCAGGGACCCCCAAGTTGGGGGGACACACACCCTGGGGACCCCCAACCCAGGGGGAAGACACAACAGCACCCTGGGGACCCCCATAGTGGGTGTCGTGTGTGTCCCCCCCAAATTATTTCTTGAAGCGGTCGAGGGCCCCACGTTTTGGGGGCAGGGAGGACTCCCCCCTCCTCCTCTCCTTCCTCTTCCCCTTCTTCTCCTGCTCTCGCTGCTCCACGCTCTGACGGATAACAGCCTGGGGAAGTGGGGGGGGATAAAATGAAGCTGGGTGGCTCCCCCCCCAAATTAATTTGGGGTTCATGGACAGGGGGGTCTCCAACACGCACCCGCTGCTCCTCGTGGGCCACCTTCCGCTTGCGGTGCAGGAGGTTGTTGCCCTTCGCCCGTCGCCGTGGTTTGAATTTGGCCTTGGCCTGGGGGTCGAAACCCT